GTAGATCCCCTGGATGACAGAGTGGAACTCTGTTTCAAAAAAAAAAAAGACAATGGTTAATGTGATGACAATAATCATGCATGCAGGATTGTGTATAGGTAGAGAACAAGTAACTGTTGGAAGAGATGTAGAGTCAGGAAGGCTTCCCGGAAGGAAGTTGGTACGTAAGCCTCCCAGTCTGATCTCTTATAAACACCGAGAAAGTAGGGAGAGCACAAGCGAAAATATGGAGGTGGAAACGTAGGCTATATTGGTCTTTGAAGCTCAACCCTGAAGCTGGAATGTGCTGGGCTGCATTTAACTGTGAAGGGGCTTGAATGTCAAACTAAGCATTCAGACTTGATTCTGTTGCAGCAGGTTTAGACCTAAGCCTTTTTTTTTTTTTTTTTTCCCGAGACGGAGTTTCACTCTTATTGCTCAGGCTGGAGTGCAATGCCACCATCTCGGCTCACAGCAACCTCCGCCTCCCGGGTTCAAGCGATTCTCCTGCCTCAGCCTCCTGATTAGCTGGGATTACAGGCATGCGCCACCACGCCCAGCTAATTTTGTATTTTTAGTAGAGACAGGGTTTCTCCATGTTGGTCAGGCTGGTCTCGAACTCCCGATCTCAGGTGATCTGCTCGCCTTGGCCTCCCAAAGTGCTGAGATTACAGGCATGAGCCGCTGCGCCCGGCCAGTCCTAAGCCTTTCTTAGGAAGTGTAGTTGTGCAACCTGAGACAAATCACTTAACTTCTTTGTGCCTCAGCTTCCTCATCTATAGAATGGAGATAACAGTACCTCCCTCTTCAGGTTTCTGTGAGGATAAGTGTTGAAGTTATATAAAGTCCTTAAAATGGCGCCTAAGACAATAAGCACTATAAAAGTGTCTGCTATCCTCTTTTTTTTTTTTTTTGAGATGGAGTCTCACCCTGTCGCCCAGGCTGGAGTGCAGTGGCACGATCTTGGCTCACTACAACCTCTGCCTCCTGGGCTCAAGTGATTCTCCGGCCTCAGCCTCCTGAGTAGCTGGGACTACAAGTGCATGCCACCATGTCCAGTTAATTTTTTGTACTTCTTTTTTTTTTTAGTAGAGATGGAGTTTCACCGTGTTAGCCAGGATGATCTCGATCTCCTGACCTCGTGATCTGCCCACCTCGGCTTCCCAAAGTGCTGGGATTACAGGCATGAGCCACCACATGTGGCCTATCTTCTTCTTCTTCTTTTCTTTGAGACAGTCTCACTCTGTCACCCAGGCTGGAGTGCAGTGGCATGAATTCGGCTGTCTGCAACCTCCACCTCCCAGATGCAAGTGATTCTCCTGCCTCAGCCTCCTGAGTAGCTGGGATTACAAGCATGCACCACCACACCTGGCTAATTTTTGTATTTTTAGTAAACATGGGGTTTTACCATTTTGGCCAGCCTGGTCTTGAACTCCTGACTTCAGGTGATCCACCCGTCTTGGCCTCCCAAAGTGCTGGGATTACAGGTGTGAGCTGAGCCACCGTGCCTGGTCAAGCATCTGCTATCTTCATCATCATTAACATCCTTTACCTAGCAACTAGGTATCTCAGCCCTGCCACTACTTGCTCTGTGACCTTGGACAGGTCACTTGATCTTTCTATGCCCCAATATCCTCCTCTATAAAATAAGGGATAATAATAGTGTCTGACTCAAGAGTTCTTGTGAAAATTAAATGAGAAAGAATATGTAAGTGCTTAGAAGAGTGTGTGGCATATAGTTAATGTGTGATGATAACAGCTATAAAAATAAGTTAGGAGAGCGGGCAAGGGGTGAGGCAGCTTGTGAGGGAGGTTGAGCTCCTGGTCACGATTCTGTCCATCCCAGGCTGATGGTGCGCTCAGGGGGCAGCCCCCTATCCCCCGTGATCTATGATTCAGACATGGACGATGTCCCTGAGCGGGGTCTCATCAGTGACGCCCAGTCCCTCTATGTGGAGCTGCTGTCAGAGACACCTGCCAATCCCCTGCTGTTAAGCCTCCGATTTGAAGGTAAGTGACCCACTCCCCCACTGGACCCCAGCCGCCACACCGTCCCCTCTTCCTGACACCAGGCATAGTTGGAAGCACAAACTCCATGCCTGTTCATCTCCATGCTGGGATTCCTGAAACGTGACTTGCCTCCCTGCCCCAAAACTGCAAGGATCTCTTCTAGGGACCCCTTCTCCTTTCCGGAGGCAACCTTCCCTGTTTAAGCTTCATGCATGCCTGGATCCAGGTACACAGCCCAGAGACCAGTTATCTCAGTATCTCAGTTCTTTCCTCTGTGTTGGCTTCATTCTCAGGCAGGCTTTCCCTGTGTGATGGACATAGCTGCTGATTTACCACCAACTTAGTTTTTATTTTATTTATTTATTTCTTTTCTTTTTTTTTTTTTTTTTTTCTTTAGGTGATCCCCCCGTTTTGGCCTCCCAAAGTGCTGGGATTACAGGCATGAGCCACCATGCCAGGCCTCCTAATTTGAAATTTATTTATTTATTTATTTATTTATTTATTTTTGAGATGGAGTTTCACTCTTGTTGCCCAGCCTGGAGTGCAATGGTGCAATCTTGGCTCACCGCAACCTCTGCCTCCCAGGTTCAAGCAATTCTCCTGCCTCAGCCTCCCGAGTAGCTGGGATTACAGGCATGCGCCACCACGCTCAGCTAATTCTGTATTTTTAGTAGAAACAGGGTTTCTCCATGTTGGTGAGGCTGGTCTCCAACTCCCGACTTCAGGTGATCCGCCCGCCTCGGCCTCCCAAAGTGCTGGGATTACAGGTGTGAGCCACCATGCCTGGCAGTTTTTTTTTTTTAACTTTTATTCATTTTTATTTATTTATTTTGAGACAGAGTCCCTCTCTGTCGCCCAGGCTGGAGTGCAGTGGCGGAATCTTAGCTCACTGCAGCCCCCTCCTCCAGGTTCAAGCGATTCTCATGCCTCAGCCTCCCCAGTAGCTGGGACTACACGCATGCACCACTACGCCCAGCTAATTTTTGTGTTTTTAGTAGAGACAGGGTTTCACCATGTTGCCCAGGCTGGTCTTGAACTCCTGGGCTCGAGTGATTTGCCCCCGTGGAACTCCCAAAGTGCTAGCATTACAGGCGTGAGCCACCTCGCCCAGCCCATACCACCAACTAGTAACCTCACCAGAGAGAACACTCATGTATTTCCTGAGAGCTCAGCAAAAGTGCCAGGAGAGGCACTCATTGACCTGGCTGAGGTCCTGGTTGGCCTTAGCCTGAGCCAATCACCGAGCTAGGAGAAGGCAGTATTGAGACAGGCTAATCTGCCTCATGTGGCCTCCCCTGGTGGGCTTCAACTCAACCTCGTGGACTGGGAGTGGGGTAGGCATGCATCCCAAAATTAAAATTGGGGTGCTGTTACCAGAAGAAGGGGAATGAATGTGAAGGGGTAGAAACAAGGAAGTGATCGTGAAGGAAGAAGCATTTGAACTTGGCCTTATAGGACAGAAGGTATTTTATTATTATTATTATTATTATTATTGAAACAGGTCTTGCTTTATCACCCAAGCTGTAGTGCAGTGGCCCCATCATGGTTCACTGCAACCTCAACCTGCCGGGCTCAAGTGATCCTCCTGCCTCAGCCTCCCTAGTAGCTGGGACCACAAGCGTGCACCACCATGCCTGGGTAATTTTTTAATTTTTTGTAGAGACAGCATCTCACTATACTGCCCAGGCTGATCTCTAACTGCTGAGCTGAAGTGGTCCTCCCACCCCGGCCTTTCAAAGTGCTAGGATTACGGGCGTGAGCCACCCTGCCCAACCAACAGAGGATATTTTAAAAGAGGAAGATCAAGGCCAGTTGTGGTGACTCATGTCTCTAATCACAGTACTTTGGGAGGCCAAGGTGGGATGATTGCTTGAGGCCGGAGGTTTGAGAACCAGTCTGAGCGACATAGTGAGACCCTGTGTCTGCAAATTAAAAAAAAACATTATATATATATATACACACACACACACACACA